TAATGCATGAGATATACATTTTTTAAGCTTCCGGTAGTTCTAAGTTCAAAGAAACTTCTTATTATTCTCTACATACAATAAGCATAAAAAATGTATAAATATTGTCATATCGATAGATTGTGCAAATATTACATTTTTTAGAGACCCAATGGCATAAAATTAGTTAAGACCATATGCTTATTTTAACTAACACCTTTTTGAATAATCAAATAAATAAATTGTAAATAATGTAAATATACACTACATATGACTGAGTAATGGCTAATGATTAACAGAGATAAAAATAAATTAATTTAATGTTAAAAGTAAAGTTTAAGTTGTAATTACTTTATATTAGATTTGTTGATTCCTTGAATTAAAAACCGATATAATAAGTAGTATAACGTCTACTTTATAGTTTAGTACAAACAATATTCTTCAACTAAAAATACATGACTTAACATTAAGACATTCGACCATTGTTTTAAACATTAAAAACACATTCTAAAATTAAAATAAATTCTCAAGACATATGCATTAAAAATCCTTAAGTAAACATGCATGATGCTTATCACCTATTAATGGAAACTGTATACAACTAACAAACATACGTTTCTTAACAATAATGAATAAATGAAATGTAACCTCGTCAGTATTTAATGATTGAAGGTCAACCAAACAACGAAATAATATTGGTAACGTGCATACAAATATTGGTATTGTCAAATAAAAAATAATCGCAAAATAATATGTACGTGCATTTCACATGCCATCCAAAAACACGTATTATGATTTAATCGCTATTATATACAACTATAAAATGACTGTGAAGTCATGTGACTAAAATATAATTTCATACACATGACATCATACATTTTATGAACTGTTTTTTTCAAAGCATTCAGCTGTTTTGTTATAGATGTAATATCATTCTCATGCCATATTTTGCATCACAACCATGCATAAAATATATTTACAGTAGCCATAACATTACAATTTACAATCAAATAAGATTTTGTTCTAATGTCATAACTGATAAATTTAAGAATTAATTAATTTACCTACAAAAATCATTAAATTGTTTAAATTAAACTAAATTAAAACTAATGTTAAAAATGTATAAATAAAATAAAGCTGAAAAATTAAAGTGTAAATCAATAAGTGATTATTCTTCTAGCTCAATAATAACAAGTCTAGAAATTTCACAATATTAATATAAGCTGAATGACATTAAAGTAAAAAAATATGACCTATAAATTTAAAAATTTTTCAATACGCCAAAACACGAACAAAAATAAATTATTTTTAATGGTAAAAACATGTATATATTATGCAATATGATTACTTACTTAATATGCAAAATGATCAACAAGAAAAAATATATGATTCATAAATAATTATACAAGTATTCAAAATATATTAAATAAATAATTATTTTGTGTTGAAATATATACAAATAAAAAACAAAAAAAAATTAGTTTTAATGTATTTGTTTTTTACTAGGAATAAAACTGATGTATTAATATCACTTAAGATAATTAATTTTAAATTTTAACTAAATATACATAGATTTTCTAAAAATAATAATATGATACACATAATTATCGTAGCAAAATTGTTTTAAAAGTACCACAGATTGAATAAAAATAAAATTTAATAATTCATAAGACTATAATATTATATTATAGACCTACTTTTAAACTTATTTTTTTATTTATTAATAATAAATTTAAAATACAAAGTGATTTTTTTAATAGTAGTGTTGAGTTAAAAAGGAGTGATATAATAATAGATGTGCCAAAATATGTATAATTTACTATCACTCCACTCATCAAAACTTTAAATGCTTCTTAAGAGATAAAGTGCTGTTGCTTATTAAATATTTATAAGCAGTGAATACCACAACTACTTATGTAGCTAAGAATACCATTAATCCCTAAATTAGAGGTATTAAGTTATAAAGGGCCAATTAGTTTTATTATAATTTATAAACATTGTTTTCATCATCCAATTGTGTTAATGTGCTTCAAAAACTGAAATAATAGAGAAAATCTATTTTGATAATCTGAGTTGCTCTTTCAACAAAAATTGAACTTTTTATTTAAAAAAATATAATACACTTAATACACGCAGACATTATCAAATTTACGATGAGATTTAAAAAATATATATATTAATTTCAAGTTTGAAAATATAAATTTTAAAATACAATATTTAACAATATACAAAATCTAATTATGTAATGTATTATACATAGAATCAAGTATATTTATAATTGCACAAACATCAAACATTTCTCTTAGATATTCAAAATTTAATACTAAAAAGAATACAATTGATTAAATTGACTACCTATAATATAAAATGCATTAGAAGATAGAACAACTTTTTAATAATCAATGAATAATAACTATATTCAGTAGATTGTTTAAAATTTAGAAAGTAGTATATGACCTAACCAAATTAAAAATTTTTATTTATTAGTTAAAATAATAAAATATTCATTAAAGTGTATTAAAAATAATATTAAATATGTTCCTACTGTGTTTCCCTATAACATTTTTTTTTTTAATGCAACCCTATATTAAAAATATTCAATCTTACAAAAGTTAATTAAATAATAATAAATATATATTTTAAGCATAATATTACACATAACAGTGCAGTTAACTATTTCATACATCAACTTTGAGTCATGCGCTTTTCAAATGTATTTTTCAAAATATGATCAGACCATACTAATGTGATGGATTTAAAACTCCAACTAAATTAAGCAGTATTTACATGGCAGCAATGCTTGTTATATAACAATCAAAAAAAAAAAATATTCATAAATATATTATGAAATAGGCTTTAATAAATTATGCTATGATGCAACACATAACATATTAAAATGCAAATTGCAATAAACAAACCATGAACAAACACAAAAGTTACCATAATTTCACTTACAGGGGTCATAATGTCCACTAGTTGGGTCTGTTTTAAAAAAGAAAAGAAAAATCATTATTATCAACTTCAAAAATTATTTAACCTAATAACCTCAATTATGAGACAATTATTAGTTTACTAATTAACAATTATGACTAATTATTATAATATTATAACACAGGTATAACTAATTAAAATAAAATCTTCATAATTAGTATTCTTTATGTAAACATTAAAATAGTACCTATATATATATAGGTACCTACTTTATTATTTTTATACATTATAATACATATTAATATACTATGATACTATGAGTTAATTATAACATTCATAATGTTTTGGAAAAAAACTAAGAAAGTCACTTAATAGCAACACTTATACAGTAATTAGTGATTGAAGATTATGCTTATATTTTCTTATTAATGAGCTCAAAAATTAAATATTTTCTAATAATATGGCATCCTTTGCAATTAACATAGTAATTATTTATAAATAATTTCTATTCTAAAAAAAAAACTTTTCTGGATTTGTTATCATATTTCACTCAGTCAGTTTAAATAATTCAAATTCCAGATTAAGATTTTGTATGACCATAGATTTGTCATTTCTGACATTGTGCAACAAGGTATTTTTTGTAGGGCTCTTTCACTTAAATCTTAAAAATTTTAAATTTCATTTAATAGATACATAAATAAATATTTTTCAAATTAAAAAATGATGAGTACTTACTTCGCTTTCCATCAGTAACAACTTGTATGCAATCATCGTGAAATGATGTCAATGGACATTTATATAACGCACCAGACTGATTAGTTTTTGGTTGTAGGTTTTTACCTATTGGAGCACCAACCAAAATCCTGTAATAACACAAAATTTGGAAAATTTTTAATATTTTAATGGTAAAGAAGAAACCGAAGATGCAAAATATTGTAAATAACCAACCAACAATTTGACACTTTATTATTGAATTTAAGTGTAGAAAAGTTGAACTTAACAAATAATACATTCAATTTAAAAATCTACCCACAATACCTCGCACAATACTTTACAAAACGTTTTGGAAATTTGTTTTTGAAAATTGATTAAGACACCAACATTCACATATTTGTTTTCGGATTGAATATGTTAACGAAAATTAGTTTCAGTTATTTTAAACGTATTGAGTGCATACCTCAAGATAGTAACAAAACAAACATCGAGTCACTATTCTACCTACCTACATAACACCGCAATACCTATGTACCTAGACATAAAATTTAATTTGAAATGTAAATAAATCGCTAGCAAGCGGGATACATATGATCGGATAACAACAACGGCAACAAGAATAGAGGTGTACACTAACCAACTGTTTTCCACTTGTAACTTGATCTCGTCATACGACTGGTGTCCGGCAACGGAGTAGCCAAAGTACGATACTTCCAGGGAACGTTTGACGATCGGCAGTCTCGTCTCCAGGTTGAAAGAACGAACACGGAACGCGGAGTCGCACAGCAACAGCAACAGCAGCGACAATGACATCATCTTGGGGGGGAGGAGTTCGCACCACCAACAGCGACGGCGAGGTGGTAACAGCGAGGTGGTAACGGCGACGGTATCGGCTGGCGGGTCAGCAGCCCGACCACGACGACAGCGGTCCACAGATCCTGACCAACGAAGCGGTCATCGTCGGATCACAAAACGGGGTGACGGGTTTTCGGAGATCCGCGAACGGCCGACAAGCGTGTCCCGGGTATGTCGGCGGCGTCCGTCGCTACGGAGATCGCGGCCCCAAAACGCTGACGGAGATTATCGCACCAGACGACAATTTGAGGGGGGGCGCTGTGTAATTACCGGGACCGGGAATACCGCCGAGCTGAGACAGGAGAGAGAAAATAATAAAAAAAAAAAAAAAACGTAACGACGATAACGACGAACGGTCTCGGGTACGCTGGACGGTCGAGTGCGACAACGACAACCTGTGCGTGTCGTGCGGTGCGCGCGCCGTCGTCGTCAGCTTATTATTATTATTATTATTATTGTAATATTAGGTTTGTTCCAGCATAGTGTTGCAAGTGGTTATAAACGTTCAGCGCATGCGCAATGTCAAAAACGTGTTCCAGCAGAGCAAATTTAAAACACCCAACAAAATGTTTTCTGTTCCATCAGTGCTGCAACATGTTATCGACTTGTTGGAAACAATAATTTTCTGTTGCGAGTTATACGTTCTGTCAAATGTTTCGCGCATGCGTACAATGCAAAATATTAATTATTGTGATAATAATTAATATTATCTTGTTTTGACAGTTAGCTAGTTAGCTTAAACTACTTTTTTATATTTTTATTTTATTTATTGATTGACATTTTGAGATGGATTTGGAATTTTTCGACTCCTCGTCCTCTTCATTATCGTCCGACGATGAATTTGTATTTGATAGCGACGACGAAGTTTATTTGGAAGACAGAACAAGACCGAAAAATCAGAATTATTTTGAGACTATAGCAAGGTAAGTAAGCTATGTATTTAAATTTTCCTTGTTGAATATTTAACACATGGTAAGCAAACATTCCCTCTCTGGTTTAAATTGTAACTTTTTTATTTTTCTAAAACCTAGGGGTAGTTTTGGTAAATTTGTTGCTGAATATTTATTTGGCAACATAAATTATTAGTTTTTTTTTTTAGATACAATGACTTAGAGTTTTTGGAACATTTCCGTGTTAGACGCCACATTGCAAACAATTTGACCATACACTTTGAGGCCAGTCCGGAATTTAATGACACAACTGGAGGACATGGAAAAATACCTGCCTACAACCAAGTAAGTCACTATCAAGTTACTTATTTTCTCTAACCCAAAGTCCTAAGATAAGAGTTAAATTCTAATATTACAATCACTACAATTACAATATTACAATTAATACAAATACAATATTACAATCACTACAATTACAATATTACAATTACTTCAACTATTACAATATTACAGTTGAAATATCTATTACTAATTAAATAAGTGTCTTGTTCAATATCTAAATCCTCTCAAATATTCCCCCGTTTGGTATAAATCTATCACTACGGATACACCAGTATACCAGTGATAGACAACAATTTAATAGTTACCGTATTATACCACGTAACAATATTATGAAGGTATTGCTTTAACGTGGGCAGCGCCGGTCATAAACAACGAGCCGGCGGGCGAAACGGCGGTTATCAGATTGTTCGGGCGGCGGCGGACCGTCGGATTGGGGCCCCCCACTCCCTCGCCGCCGCCGATCGCTCGAGGAACGATGTCGCGTGTACAACACGGTTTACGTACGACGACGATGATAAATACGACGCGTTACGGTGCGGCATTATAATAAGTATGTGTTCACGGTTACGCCTAACGCCATAGCACGCGGCGGTACGGCCGTAGGTATTCAAACGTATTATTATTATATTGTTGTTGTGGATAATGCATCGCGTTCCCGTCTTCGCCGATATCTCAGGGCAACATGTGGTGACCGCGGTTCTCGCTCGCACAGAACTGTTTGTGCGATAAAGAAACAATTATAATGTTTCGTATGAGAGAGAAAAGATGCGCGTGACCACCGTCACGGTTGACAATACCGTCGATGCTTCGATGGTAGGTATCGGTTGTGTTGGGTTACGGATTTCTATGCACCAAGTCACCACATACTGGCGTTTCCGAAAACCTTTTTTTTTTTTTTTTTGACCACCCACAACATGGGTATTGTATTGTTGTGTACACACACTCTTTGTAGTTTGTTGGGTATACGACCACCCACCAAAGAAAAATAAATCACGTATACCATAATATAATAATAGTAAAATCATACCTAAGTAATCGTTTTTTACTATAAACAGTTTTATCGTTTAAGTTTAATATAATACAATAATCCTGTTCAAAATAAAGATCATTTTATTTTTATAATAAAATATATTTTAGTACTTAAAGATTAAAATAAATTATCAATTTACATAATCTATTACATGATATAACAACGGAAGTAATATGTCCACAGAAATTCATGACATTATACACGGATACACCACTGTTTTTGCTACTATGGTGTCTATTACTTATAAATTATAACTTATTAGTAATAGCAGAGTATAATATAAATAATATAATATTGTGCGTACCGAAATCGAATACTACACGTTGCTGTGCGTATTCCACTACGCCTATAAACTATAATATGCCGCCGAGAAACCGAAGAATAAAATTATTATAGTATGAAGAAAATACAACGATCGACGCCAGATGGACCGCTGGGCGGTGAATAGGCATTACGTTGTTATTATTATTATTAAGTATTACGTGGTTACGTTGCTGCAATTCATTCGATGTTCATTATTTCTAGATTCCAGTGTTCATACTATCTAGTTCCTAACTATTTATTTCCCCTCACTTCGTGTCCCCGACTAGTCGTCGCTTTTGCATAATTTATTGCAAACATTGATGAGTGTGATTGGCAGTAAACGGTGTAATTATATGTGTATTTATTTCAATAAAAAAAAAAAAAAAATATGCAACTCTGAAAATATAAAAATAATATTATTGGTTATATGGATCCAAGATTAAAAATCAAAATCGATTAAATATACATGTATAGGTTAACAAAGTATAAAATAGTTATTATTTTATTAGAAAATCAAAAATATTACAATATATCTATCCTATATTCCTATGTATATAATAAAAAAGAAAATGAAAAAATATTTAAGTTTACAACTCGCCTATTAGCATAGTTCGTGATAGGGAATATTTATTGAATTAAGATTAATAACAGTTGTAAATATGAAACTAAATACATAATTATAAATTGATTTGTGAGAAAATAAAATTTTTATTTACAATTTTACATAATATTAAATCATTGAAATTATAAAAATTATTTCAAGTATTAGACATAATTTAATAAATATGCGAAAGAAAATGATTTAAAATTAAATGCAAATTTTAGAGATAATTATTATAAATTAGGACATTATAGATACCTACCTATATCTAACAAGTAAACAAGTGAAGTTAATTTAAACTTATTTAATAATAAATTAATAAATTGATGTACCAGGAATGCCAATTTTTAACAATTTTACTTAAAAAAAACAATCAAGCACACCAATCGCAAAAAAAAATTTCACATTATTTTTCCAAACTACAGACTTAGAATTGAACATAAAAATATGTTAGGTACTTCATAGTTACTTGCGGTAAAAAAAAACTACTAGGAATAATGGAATGTCGATACTCGATGATGACGTTGTACTCACTACCCGTATGTGTAATGATTGACATAATATTACATTTACCATTGAATTTGACTTTTTTGGTAAATTTTAATATGTTTAAAACTTATTTAAAAATTAAAATACCATAAAACCTCATATTATAATTTAAGCTCTAGGTAATATTTATTCTTATCCTTAAATTTTATAATAGATCAATTAAATATAAAATAGTTAACAGAATAAAATAAATTATTTATAAGTACAATTTACTATGGTTACATTTGCTAGGTATAAAAGCATAAATGAACACGACTGCAACGTCCTTCTAAATCACACATACAAATTATCCATTTCAATCATATATCCATATTATACATCATAAAATATTTGTAGATTCCAAGAATTAACTTGTTTCAAAGTAAAAATATTGAAACACTTGAAACAATATCAATAGAGTAAGAATTGTTTTGTTTTAATTTCATTCTTTTAGTTTTTCCTCATACATACGTACAAACCAAAAATACAGTGGCATGGCAATCATATTTATCCACCCACTACCTTCTACAATATAATACATAGTTTAAAACCATGCTAATTTAAAATTTTTGTTATAGAATATAAGTTATCAACTATCTAATACAAAATAAATACTATGATAATTAACTATACATTCATCCACATAAGTTTTATTTTTTTAATTCTAGTTAAATTTATAGGAATATACGCAATTGTATTAGATAAACGTCGTTCATTTCGCCACTGCAAATAGGTATATGAGTAGATAAGACCTAATAAATACCTACAATCGACAATACTGCAGTCATCATAAGTACGTTGTTTAGTAGAGAGATAAGTGAATATTTTATATATTAGGTATATTTTTATTATTTATTTGTTCAAGGATTAGCTACTATGAAATTTCAAGTTACACAATACTCTTTTAAATCGATCTTAATATCGATTTTTTATATATTTTACATTTTTTCTAATAGTCAATAAGAGTTGCAATACTGAATTACCGCTTAATAATGAAATTCATTATTTAATTTTCAAAAATTGTTTTCGCGTCATAAGGTGAATTGTTTCCAATTTAACTCAAGTTTCGATAATTAATTAATATTATTAAACATATTTCATATCATAAGTTAAATTATGTATTTGTGCATGAGCGGATTTAGGTATGTAAATAGAATATATTTTAGGGACTTCGACTAAATAAACAGGACAATACATTTTTTGATAATTTTATAACATATAAGCTATAGAAGCGCGCAACCTATTTTTGGTGTATTTTAAATTAGAGAATGAACTTACACTATCTACGGTAGTTGCCAGTTAATTATCATAAAACAAGATCAATGCAAAAAAACTATTTTAACATTAAGAAAACAACTTTTTATTTCTTTATTAATTAATATTTAATACATTAAATGTTCTTGACTGAAGTTACTAAATACTCTGATTTTATTTCAAAATGTTGTAAATATTTTAAGCTGAAAAAGCTGGTTTCCTAAATTTTTATCTATGTCATACTGGTAAATCTTGACAAATTTAATTGGTTCATTTTCAATTCCTGTATCATTTAATTGTTCTAAATTTTAAAGAAAACCAAATTATTGGTTTACCAATTCATAGGTAGCCAAACATTGTTTATACGATTTAAAAAATAAACGCATCTATAACTAGTAAAAAAATTTAAATTTTTGAAAGTATTAAATCTAGCCTGGGTGTTTCATTAAAATCTATTGGTTCAAATGGATGTTTCTTTACCGTATACGATGTTTTAAAATTTTAAATAATCTATTTTTTCCGAAATGTTTAACCCCCTCCCCTCGCTGTTTTCCATATTATTCAAAGTGATTGCGTTTGGATTGAACAAAACCAGCAGTGTTAAGATCTAAAGAAGAATTTTACAGTAATTTATTATTGCTATCTAGGTACTCTTTCAAAGATATCATTCCAAAAAACTGTTGTATCATTGCAGTTGAATAACGTTGTACTATTATTGATATTATTGATTAAACTAATCTAATTATTTTCGACGAAGAATTCGTCGTTCGCTGTTGACCGCCATATTAATAATTTAACGTATCTATCACGTATAAATTTATAATCCTCGATTGCATTTTGAAAACAGCACGAACACTTTTCTTATTTAGATTTATTGCTTGTTCATTTGAACGAATATTACATGATCGTTAGTACAATAATACGTAAAATACAAAAATAACTTTTATGTTTTTAATAAAAATTTAATTTTAAATACATAAATAAAGTTCCATATTACATATTATATATATTTTTAAAATTTAATATTATTTTTTTTTTTATTTACAAAGCTGTAGTGCTCCAAATTTGTGGCGGCGTCATCGCTGCAGCCCCCATTCAGCCTCTCCCTAAATTCGGCCCTATATATGCATGTTCAATAATGAACACATAAAGTATTATAACAAATAGAGTGTTAACTATTAAATATGAAATAATGAAAAACTTTTATCAGTTTATCACATAGGTATCTTTTTGACTAATTGCAGATTGATATATCCAGCTCATCATGATTTATATTAAAGTTAAAAT